GCTTCGCGCCACGGACTATACTAATCTAACTCCAGAACGGTAAGTTGGACCTTAGGCAAGTTGAAGTAGACGACCTCCTAACCACCATTTATATTTTTCAGGGATTTCAAGAAACCTACAATTTAATAATCGGATGTTTTCGTAATACGTTAAACGATAATACAGATTAGGAAAATCTACAGATGTAAATTCACACCCATAAAACCCTATAACCACCGTTTTCGTGGGATAAAATGTTGGGATTAGGGATTAATGAGGTGCACTACATAAGCTACTGTTGCCTTTGAAATTAAAAAAAGATTCTGAAGGAAGTATGTAAGCCGAAATAAATGGTCGAGGTAGTTGGTTTGACAGACAAAAATACGAGTTTTCTTGGGCTATACCCCTGGTAGAGGTGAACGAGTATCGCGATTATCATTTTTCGGCTGATGTGGGTTGTAAATTTCGAATAACTCGGCGCGAAAAGGAGTACACCATTCCTAATGGGGTCAGGTAATGCACTTCTGTGAAAACCATTTGGAAAAATTGCCTTCCTAAATTAGCACACAGTATTGCATTGAAGGGAAGCAATCTTTTGCGAAGTAGTATACGACAAAAATTACTAAAATAGCTCGAGTTTGGTAGACTACTAGAGAACTGTTACTGCTTTTGCGTGAAACCACGCCACCTATATCTGTGTTCAGTGGGCAGACAAGAAGAAAGTTCAAAGGGACTATTTGCTTTTGTAAATAGTTAATGCCGGACAAAAAGCGTTTAGGCGATCACGTGCACAAGATCAGGGTCGCAAAATTAGAATGATGGTTAGCTTCCGGGAACTAACATGTAAACTTATTTCAAAAGTGGTTCTGGCACATCATGAATAATGCGGCCTCTTAGAGGGCAGAAGGCGCACCCCTAATTGTTGTAGAATATGTGGATGAATTATGCGCATGCTAAATGAAGGGGCAGAGTTGACGCGGTTGGTTTTTAGAAGCGAAAAAATATTCAGTTTCTTCTAATACTGATGAGACATCAATTGCTCTTTTAACTTATGGTCTATAGATGTTTGCTGGTGAGTAACAAAAAATGCAGCCCCGGCTTTGAACTCCTGAAAAATCGATATAAAAAGGGTGGAAAGTGCCGCCAGGAAACGCACATATGCTTTATTGTCTGGGGGCGGCCCAATTAAAGGTGGATTTGTGTTCACCTGGGAAACTATTTCCCATCTTCATCTTTTTTCCTGAATATAATAATCACTAGGGTGAGATTTTCATTTATGTATCTTACAGATTTTCATGACAAAGTGTGGTTTCACAACAAAATACATGTGACTGATGACGAGGACTTTGAAATTCAGAGAACTTGTAGTTGGTAATTGTATATGTTAATTTCTGAAAAGCGAGACAGACGAAGAGTAAATATTTGAAAAATCAACACTTAGGAAAATAAATAAATTTAAGATTGTAGCCAATCTTTTACAAATACAAAGTAATCACTAAAATGGCCTTTCTGTACAATCGCATTGTAATGCTTTAGCCTTGTCTTGGTCATGGGACCTAAGTTTTATGATTCCAGAGAGACTCTTATGTTTTTATAGACCTAAAAATGCTGCTTAACGATGAAAGTTATGGAGGAAAACCCAAAATATTGTTGGATCCCTAATAAGACGCTCAAGAAATCCGCTGATTGCGTCCTTAGTGAACTAAGGGCTGCGAAGTCTTCCCGTACACTGCGCCGAAGCTTCCGTCATATTTCTTGCCGTACATCAGCAGATCAGCACTCTGTACTCCCATTCCTAGCACGCTACCTCACGTGTGAAGAAGCGGAAACTGAGAAGTTGAAAGCTGACCTGTCCCCATAGTAGATGTGGATATAGTGTAAACCTTTAATTTAGAGTATTCTATGACGTCATAGAATACTCTAAGATAAGTAAGGGGTCATTGTAAAGGGTAAGAGGTACCTTTTTCCCTTTACCATGACCCCTTACTTATCTTATATCTTGCTCTTCGTGAATGGAGCCATTTTTTGTTGAAAATTTTGGATATTCCCTTCTAAATAATGCATTCTCTTTCTAAATAATTCAGGGCAATCCAAAGTTGTAACTGTCTTTTGCGCATTAATTAAGCTATAAAATTGTAATACCCTCAAGACTGTACTAGGGCATGCAGCTTATTATACCGTAAAGGCCTGTCCACTTTTCTCACGTTTGAATTTACATTTAGGGAGAAAAGGCAAAAAAATTAACACACTGTTGTGGTTTTAACAAAATCGTACTTAAAGAAGCAGACATTTGTCAACAGAAGATTTTCATACCAAAAGTGAGCTATGACCGCCTTAAAAATTTAGCTGAAATAACAAGACAGTGTTTTTTTTATCAGATAACTGTTGTGGGCGTACGACAGAATTACAGGTAGTTTAACTTGATAATGTGCCGTAGTTAACCCGTCAGAGCAAATATTTAACAATAATAAGAGTCTTCGATTTACGAACTTGTCATATACTAATCCAATACATGATCCAAACTCTACTTAGGCCTTTTGATCTACAGGCAGGTTCTAAGTGATACTGGTCACCCCGAGCTGACCGTAAATTCATTTTCGAGATTAGCCATAGAGGCATGCAAACCAAACCAACGGAATTCGTATTATGTCTAAATTTAACTCTGTGAAGTTAGTACAAGATAAGTTAACGTCACATTGTGTGATTGCGATCTAAACTGCGCAGCGCGAAAGGTGTACACCTTTCACGTGAAAGACAAAAAACTGGCAAAAAACATAGCCAGACACAGGCCATCAATTGAGTGAGTACAGTCTGAAGCTTTTAAACATGCTCACTCTTTGTGGCGGAATTCCTAAGACGTCGCTATGCACCAATATTGGCACATGATTCACCGAAGACATAGAGAATCCTCGAAATCTAAGGCCTCCAGGCGAATCGGATTGGTCTATCCATAATTTTCTACTATGCGCCGTTAATGTCAAGCATTTTAACGCAGAATTATTTGTGACATAATTTCAAGGACTAATTGGCAGCCCTACGTAGAGAATTCTTTTGAAAATATTTATTCTCTGCTATAAAATATTGTTCTAGTTTCTCTAAACAG